CAATCAGGATGAGAAGTCCACTATGAATATCAAAGAGCCAGACCTGAACATGGAAGAGGAAAAATTCAATGCCTCAGATGCACACCTTGAAACTAATGTGTCTGCTGGATTCTATCCACCATCAATTTTCTATCAAAATGTGAAAATGTCTTGATGATACATGTAGATGCGCCTACCGATCTGATTTGTCAAATGACTAGGACTAGGACTGGATTTGCGTCAAGCAAGTAAAGATCCTCACTCACATCACTTCGATGCGACGATTCAGAAAATGAAGAGAATCTGGATGACAGTGAGAAAAAGGTTTCTTTCCATCAGAATAATGTTCATTCCTGTTTTATTTGAGAATCTGATTCACTCAAGTTCATATTGTGCCAATTATTATATGATCTTCAAATTTTGTGATCTTGCAGGCGGATTCACGGTGAATGGTACATTAGACGTTTCTGGAGAACGCAACGTAGGATTATCTCGAAAACTCGGTTCCTTGAATAATTAGTTGTGTTCTATCGACCTGAAATATTCTCAGCGCTGCGACATTGCTGCTTATATTGAAAAGTAGCAACAACTTCGATGTTTCAATGAGACACCCTGTATATCATTTCATTTTCAGGTTCTCCTTGAAGAGCTGATTCCATAGATATAGCACACTCGCGGTCTAGCGGGAATGGTAACGAAGATATAGGGTGTGAAAAATCGAGATTTTTCAACTTCAAGAATTTTTTGTGTCGAAACTATTCATAATAATTGATCAAAACGATTTTTGAGTCCCCTATCCCAACTGTACATGTACCATCAATTGATATTCAATTGAAATGTACCTATTTTAGTGGTCCAGAATCAAGATTTCCAACCGCCCTGTATTCATTTCAATCAAATATCAATTGATTGTAAATAAAATGTTGGAATAGAAACATGAAAACCGTTTTGAGCAATTATGAATAGTTAGGACAAAAAAAATTACCCAAGTTGAAAAATCTCGATTTTTCACATACTATAACTCTGGTACTATTACTGCTATAGCTTCCCAGGAAGAATCTATGAATGGCATAATATACAGGGTGTCCTATTCAAAAATTCAAAGTTGTTGCTACTTTTCAATATAAGCGGCAACGTCGCAACACTGAGAATATTTTAGGTCGATAGAACACAAGTTATTATCCAAGGCACCAACTTTTCAGAATAGTCACTAGACACAGTAATTTGGACGGTGCTAATGTTGTGTGGTAAAGAAAGTGAGATTCTTGAAGTTGAATGAATTTGTAAGTAAATTAGTGCCTTATTTAGTCAATTCAAGAGCATATATACAGCTTCATAAAAATTGTGAAGTTTTCTTGAATCTTGATTACATCATGTTCGTCAAAAAAAACTTCATTTGTGTGAATTGGGATTTCATCAATGGAGGAAATCGATAAAATATTGTGCATTCCGTAATAACTCGTTACTCAGTAACATAAGATTGAAGAAGAAGAGTTATGATGTCGTACAAGTGATAATTTGACTCCAACTACGAATTTCCCGCATGGAAAAAGATGGAGTTCTAGGACAATGCCAAAAAACTATACAAATTGGCCTTCAAAACTCTAACTTCATAGATTTTTTTGCTGGTTTTCCTAATAATGATTGAAGTCTGTTGATTGCATTTTAAGTTGGAAATTTGGATAAGTTCAGAGATGATATAGTTAGTATATCACTAATCGCTCCACTTCAATTCTTGGATAATGTTTTTTCCAATAACGTACCTTTCTGGGCCCCCTCATGGGATGTGCCGGTCCTGGCTGGTGTTATTAACAGAAATAAATACCTACACATACCGATAAAACAGCGCAGCCTGAGAATGTTTTTAATAACCCATTCTCTCATAAAATTTGCTTTAATTATCTGAGTCCCTCCACAAATTCATTTTGGATTATGATAAAAACAAAAACCCGCAATCTTTGCCCAGGTATCAAGCTGCGTAGTTATTCGAAATTGCCTCAGGCTATTTCCGAAAATTACAGGGTCAGCGCGATAAACGCTACAAATAGATTTTGAAGGACGATAATTATACATAAGAATAATTTTCAAACTAGTGTGGAAAATTATACTTTCTGGTCACCTATTGTCGTTGCACCGAATGACGCGAATCAGAGTTTAGGGTTTGGTCAAACAATCAAATGCAGTTCAATTTTCAGTTTAAGAAATTGCGAGGTGAATAATTCTAGGAGGAAAGATGTGTAAGTCTGCTATCTGAGAATGTGTCAACAAAATTTCGAAACAATCCGGATGAATCAATGGCATATTTCAAATTGAAACAATCTCTTAATTGTCCTTGGCAGTACAGAAATTTACGAATTTGTTAACATATTTCTTCATATACAGCGATAGTTTGAGGAGCAACAACAACGATGGTCACGATGATTGGGAAGATTAGGGTGACTTCGCTGGTTTGCCGACCACCGCCAATTCTCGGACGCAACCAAGAAATTCTCCTTGAATTAGTATCAACGTTCTATAATTCTGATATCTAACGTTCATCCTGCTCTCGACCATCACTCCCCACCCAACTATGTTTTTGCCGTCGGGTGGCATTTCACAGAACCATTCTACAAATTGATGAAGATAGTCAGCCACGTTGTGTATTCTTCAAATGTGTGTATGAACAAAAAAAAAGTGCATCATCTCTAGAAATAGTGAATAGACTCATGAGAATTTTGATTTCCATTATGTTTTAGTGTAAGGCACTCTTACCAATATCAAAACTAGTTCTGTATTACAAAAAAAAAATTATTTCAATATTTTTTCACCAAAACTTGATGGTCGGTAACACGACCATTCAAAATTGAAAAATCCTTATTTCGACCAGGATGGCCGAAAACCGGAACATAGGGTGAATGTGCCTGTTAGCCGACCACTTCCAGTTTTCGACCACTTCCACATAATTTATTAAATAATAGTAGAATAAGTAGATGTTCCAATTATCCGACCTCTTCCTGGTTCTCGGACATCATTCGATCATTCAGTTCACATTTCATCCACTAGGAGGCTGGAAGGCTGATTCGTCATAATTCATAACGCAGTCGTCCATACTGCACGTCGTCGCTGAGCGTTGAAAGTTTAAAAAAAAGTTAGTGGAGTGCACCATTGAGAATAGTGAGTATAATCGAGATGATTTCGATATCTCGTTTTCTGTATTGACAGGCATGATTTATATATTCGAACCTACAATTTTCCACTGAAATACTCGTTTCATCTTAAATATTTTCGTAGAAATGGAGTGGTCGGCAACCAGACATGACAAATTGACCAAAAACCCTTTTTCGACCATAGTGGTCGAAAACTAGCTTGAATATTCGTACAGAACCTTGTGTCTCTCTTCATTCTTTTGAATGTTAATATCTCCCTCATATCATGGTCTCACTCGCAATCACAGTTCCGATATCTCATCCAGTTTTCGACCAACGATTAGCAAATATTGTGTATGTTATGACACAAATAAATATCGTACGGACGAAAAAGGGTACCAGCCATCTTCAATGGACCTGTTTTCGACCACCTATTCATTTTAGTGGAATTTTGGATGTCCGAGAAGAGGTCTTGTTTTCGGACACGGCATATTATGTTTTTACAGATGCGGCCAGAAGGGAAAAAAGTTGGCTCGAAAGAAAAATCAAGAAGTTCCACAATTGCGAAAAAATGAATACGAAAGCATTTTCAATATTCTGAAGAAACTTTGAAGAGGGCGTTGTATGAAATAAGAGAAAGGAATATGAGCAAAAAGCGAGCAAGTAGAGATTTCAAAGTCCCTAAAACAACTATTCTCGATAGACTCCACGGGAAGATTCCAAAAAATCCTGGAACAACTGGACCTGCACCATTGTTATCAAGGAGTGTTGAACAAGAAATTGCCAACTGGGTTATTACAATTGCAAAATGTGGTTTTCCAGTTAATAAAACTGACCTTATCAATACTGTAAAAAAAATTGCTAAGGATAATGGCTTCAAAGAATTCAAAAATGGGAGACCTGGTGAAAAGTGGTATAGGAATTTTTTAAAAAGACACCCTGAAATATCGCTTATGGAAGCAGAGGGAATTAATAAAGCTCGAGCAGTAGTAACAGAGGAGACTATTAGGCTGTGGTTCCGAGAATTGAGAATTACATGACTTTTTGAAACAACATGATCATTTGGATATCCTGGAAGAACCAGATAGAATGTTCAATGGCGATGAAACGGGTGTTGCTCTAAAACTGGGAAAGTCTTGGCCCCGAAAGGCTGGAAAAATTTATACACCAGAAAAAAAGGAAACGACGAAGAGAATGTTACAGTACTGATAGTTTTGCTGCCTCAGGTGAATTATGTCCACCCCTCATTGTATTTCCCTATGGGAGATCTCCCAGAGCAGTTGTCGAAAGCATGCCTGAAGGTTGGGTTCTGGGCAAATCAGATTCTGGCTGGATGAAAGGAGATATATTTTATGAATATGTGGCGAATGACTTCGATAAATGGATTACCAGAAACATGATCAAGAGACCTATACTCCTTTTGATTGATGGACATAAGTCTCATATGACACTGCCGTTGAGCGAGTTTTGTGATGAGAACAAAATCATTCTTATGCTTTACCACCAAACACAACACATGTCCTACAGCCGGCAGATGTGAGTGTATTCAAACCACTCAAACAAGAGTGGAAGAGCACAGTAAGGAACTGGCAGGCTAAGCCAGAAAACATAAATAGGTCAGTAACAAAAACACATTTTTGTCAAGTTCTCCAAGAAGTTCTAATCAATACTAATATGACAAATCACATAAAGAATGGGTTCAGGAAATGTGGACTGTTTCCATTCAATCCCAACAACGTAGACTACACATAATGTGTAAAGAATATCATTGAAAATCAGGGAAATGAACTTTCGAGGCGAGTGGACATTAGCTCCGATAAGGCAATAAAATTTGAAGATATCAGGTCAGCTGGGGAAGTATTGAGAAAAATTGAGGATAAACTTTATAGCTATGGGATGAATGTACGTGTTATCTTTGATGAACTAAAAGTTCTCGAAGTGAACGAAGGGCTTCAGTATACAGAATCAAACTGCGCTACCATCGAATTGGAAGAAAACATTTTGGATGACCTAAATTCTGTTACTATGAAATCAATTATATTTATGGATCCCATTGTGGAATTGCCACAAATTCATTACAGAGAATTGGAGCCTTCTATTGAAATTATGCTTCCGAATACCCTGGCTAGTGGAAATGAATCTGTAGTAGAAACCATAGATGTTGCATCCAGCAGTTCTTCTGCTATTCATCAAACTTCACATGATGAAGGTAACGATATGGTCGATAGATCATCTATGAAAACTATAGATATTCCCACAGAAACAAGCAATGATGTTTATACCCCCATAGAACCTATGGAGGTTCCTGGTACCCTGAACTTGATAGAAGTTGGTGCTCCTACAGAAACAATTGAGGATTCTGCATCCTTAGAAACTTCTGTGGATTCCACACATCCAAAAATAGTTGTTGTTTCTATGCTCCCGGAAATACTTGATGTATCAACTCCCATGGAATTGATTGATATTTCTGCGCCAACGGAATCGATTGATGTTCTTGAGTCCACGGAAACAACTGATGTTTTTGATATCTTGGGATCAATTGGTAATCCTGAGCCTCCAGAGATAATAACTGATGTTCTTGCTAACCCTAAACAAGTTGATGCTTCTGCGCCGCCGGACTCTATAATAGACCATCCATCACTTTTGGTATCGGATCCTACCGATAATCTTCAACCAGAACCCTCTACTTCAATGGTTACATTTGAACGACACCTTATTTTTCCAGATCCGGATATTCTGAAAGAATCAAATTCGAATAAAGTGAAACTTCTCAGTGCTATATCATCCGAGGCATGGAGAAATTACTATGCCAATGAAGATAAAGAAAAGATAGAAAAAGGCGAGAAAGCTTGAGGTAATTTTACCGAAACAACTGAAAGAAATCTTGCCACCTAATCAAAAAACTTCCAAGATTCATTGTGCATCTTGTGACAACCAACTAGACAGCGACACTGAAAATGAGAATGATAAAGATATTGGGTGCGATTATTGCCCCAGATGGTTTCATTTAGGATGTACTGATTTTTCCGGCATTCCATATGAAGAGGTCGCGCCTAGAGATCACAGATGCCCCCAATGTACCCAATGAATCAAGACTCAAGTATACTTTTCTATATAGTTCCTAAAAAAGTTACCTGTTGTACCTAGTACAAAGGAAATATTTATGAGTTCAGAAATTATTTATATTTTTGAGGTATTTCAATACCTTATATATGAAATAAATCTTCAATTTGTTTTCATCTGGCATATATTTGAAACCTTTCCACATTGGTCGAAAATAGGCCGATTTTCGAACTAAAGGTCGAGAACGAGAATGATAGTGGTCGTCCCGAGGAACACCCTGGTCGAATAATGATGAAAATGACGTTTTTCAATTATATTCCAAATAATCAATTTTCACATTTGAATTGAACTAATTTGAGGTATTGGCATACCTTAGCATGGTCTATTTTCAGAAATTATAATAAATGCAATGGTAAAACATTGACGGTAGCAATTTCAATGCATTTTTTAGTGCACTGTATCCTTAATTGGTCGAGAACCAGCACATTCACCCTTTGTCTACTTTCAACTTGTGTCTTTCTCTTTCACTTCAAAACAGATACCGTTTTGAATCGTCAGAGTGAAAAATATCATTGTTATGTTATCCAGTTTCCGGCTACTCATTTGTGAGCAATTCCTCGTCTTGTTCATTGATGAAATGGATACGTGGTCGAGAAAGGGTATTTAGTATTTTCACTTAGCTAGTATTCGATCGAGCATCAATTCACATGGTTTTTGGTAAGGCCGACAAAGGGCTCAGTTTCCGTAACAATAATAATTTGTCTCTTCAACTGATGCCGCATGAACCAACAAGAACGAAGGGTTGATCTAAAGAGAATTCCAATGGAAAAATTAAATGAAGATCTTTCAAGAAGAGTTCCAAGAGGAAACTATTTCAGTACTCAGATGGAAGTCTCAGAAGAGCTCTTTTCGGAATAACTGAGAATAAAATCAGTTTCAGAAAGCCAGTAGAGATTTTGGTGTCCCTAAAACCACAATACAAGATAGACTCTGTGGAAAATTCCTGATATACCTGGGAAAATTGGACCCAATCCTTTCTTGAGTAAAGGAATTGAAGGAACAATTGCTGTCTGGGTTTTGGATATCACGAAATGCGGTTTTCCTGTGAATAAATCAGATCTTCTTGATACTGTTGCCAACATCGTTGATGATGAAGAAAAATCAAACTCATTTTAAAACAGACATCCAGAAATGGTACGGCAATTTTTCAAGAAGGCACCTCGTTATCTCACTGAGAGAAGCTGAAGGAATCAATAAAAATAGAGCTGAGGAATATTCGTTGGATATACCTCAAGACGCAAACAAAATATTGAATAGAGACGAAACAATTATAGAAACATGTTCCATGTCATTCTTGTCATCTTTTATTGATGTCAGTCAAATGTCTTCTGCATAGTCATGACGAACAGTTCCAAATTAACCTCAACAAATTGTAGTTTCCCTCGTTTTTCTATATCACATGAAACGATGAAACAAAAATGTTTCAACTCTTTCCAAAACCAGAAATAATGGAAAATAAAAAGAAACAGTATAATTGAATAAAAATATTCACAAAAATACCACAATCATCGGAATTATGAATTGATTGAGGTACGCATCTCTCTCTTCTTTTGATTCAGGTCTCATCACTATCACTCTACAATGTAAACTATTATTTTACAGAGCTAAAAAAATTGATGAATTGACAAAGCCCATGGCCATGGGCAAAAGGTTTTTCTACTTAATTCTTTGAATTTATTTATGAAACCGAATCCAAACCCCAAGAAAAAGCTGCAAATCAAAAACATAACAGGATTCAAGAAAACCCCTCAATAAACATCCCTGAAAATGTAACTGTTCTGATTGTTTTCACAGCAAGTGGTGGAATATGCCCACCACTCGTTGTATTTCTATATGTCAGACCACCAGAGCAGTTGTTGAGAGCATGCCGTCAGGATGGGTGTTGGACAAATCTGATTCTGGTTGGATGAAGGGAGATGTATTCTTTGAATACATTGCCAACGATTTCAATAATTGGATTGAAGAAAATTGTATCAAAAAGTCAATACTTCTTCTAATTGATGGTCATAGGTACATATGACGATAGCACTACGTGAATTCTGTGATAAGAATGGCATAATCCTTTATGCGTTACCACCTAATACTACACACATCCTCCAGCCAGCCGACGTAAGTGTTCCCAATCTCCTTGAGCAAAGTAGAAAAATACAATTAGGAAAGGGCAGGCCAAAATAGAGAATTTGAACGAGTCGATCACCAAAATCAATTCTTGTGGTGTTCTTCATGAGGTCTTGATCTATGCTGATAAGGCCAATTATATCATAAATGGATTACGATAATATGGTTTGTTCTCATTCAACCTCGACGCAATCGATTATACTCAATATGTCAAAAAACCAATTGAAAAACATCAGGAAGGGAGTGCAATGATGGAGGTTGAAAAAAAGCAACAACCAGTCGGCCAAAAAAAGTTATAGAAATGATTGAGAATGCAATATCGAGATATGGCAATAATGTACAAGTTATTCTCAACGAAATGAATTTCTTGAAAGAGGCAGGTGATGCTCCGATTTCTGATGGAAATGATGCGAATAATTCAAAAACTGAAGCTGTAGAAATTTGATTCTTTGATGATAATGCCACTGAGTGAATATATTGATGTAACACAGTCAAGTCCTTCACATGACAATACCAACTTATGTAAAAATGACATGTACTTTTATTTTTCACTGCCTAACCTACATAAAGCAGAACCTAGCTAACTTCAGATCACATAGTGATATTCACTCATATCCAACAAGAAATAAAGACAATTTAGTACTCAGCTACCACAGGTTGCAACGTACAAGAAGGGGCGCTGATTACTACGGCATAAAATTTTTTAATGCTCTTCCAATAGAGGTCAAAAACCTAAATTTTAACTATTTTAAAAACAAAGTCAAAACGTATCTCTTGAAAAATGCCTTCTATTCCATCGAAGAGTATCTAGAAAGTGACTTTAATATGTAAATGTATTCCTTACTATATTTTGATGTTTGTCTTCCTATGTATTGCTACCTATTAGATTCGTATCTGACAAGCTGTATCATACTAGTGACATGTTTTATACTGTTTATGTACTATTTGTAACATTTTTTTTTTCTCTCTCATTTTCTTATATCTGACTTGTAAAAGCACTTTAGTGTAATACTTTGCCAATAAATAAACTAAACTAAACTAAACTAAATGGAATGGAGATATCAACCAGCCTAATCAGTACCATTCCATTCCGATTTCCTCCACACCTCACTCACAACGTACTTCTTGAATCGTTACCTGAACATGATGCTTCAGGTTCTCTATCTGAAGTCGGATTCGATATTACACCCCAAATGTCAACAAATGAAGCGATATGTGTAAGAAATGAGCAATTTCATGCTGATAATATTGGAGATACAGAGAGAACAAAGTCCATCTAGTCCACCCTCGGTTTTGAATAAGGTTAATATTATTTCGACTGAAACTTCAATCATTCCATGCACTTCAAGAGAAACATCATTCGAAAGACATCTCATTTATCCTGATGCAGATAGTTTGAAGGAGTAAATCAACAGTGCCAAGAAATAAATACTTTCAAGCGCTATTTCTTCAGTTGCTTATCAAAGTTATTATGAGGGGAAAGATAAAGACGAGAGGATAAAACCGGATAGGGTTAAGTCTGATAGAGATGCCAGAGATCAATAACGAGCCGAAACAATAAGAAGATCTCAACGAAAAAAACTAGTCAAGACAGTACCAAAGCGTACAGAAAATGAAAATGTTTCTCCATGTAATTTTACAAAAAGAAAATCAATTGTGTTTGATGTGATGATGATGTTTATGAGTATCTATGGGATTATTTTTCAGCTCTTCATTTTCTCATATTGTTGATTGTGAAACATTGAAGTTTTATTATTCATTTTATGTTCATATATCATTTGCATTTTTTATGTATGTGTCCATTCCCAGAGTGAGACTTCCAATAATCTTATAAATTCTAAGGTGGACGAGACTGTGGGCATGCTCTTACCGACTGTTGACCAATGAATAAAGTGTAGGCCGACAACCGGTCCATTGATGATCGACTAAGAGTTTTTACTGGTCGAAAACAGGCGAAGAGTGCATTTTTACATATTTTCCAGAAATTATATTAGATAGAAATGAATTCACTTGTGCTGTTGGTAAGACAGAAGACACTATCTAGTTCACAACTGTGGTTGATATGAATCAATAAATAGTACTTTACCAATTTTGGTCCCACTGTTCATGAAGTGGCCAACAAATGGCGAATTCACCATATGTGAGTGTGAAAACGAATATACTTATTCCAACAGAAAAGCCGCGGTACGCTGCTGGAAATTTTTGTTTCAATATATAGAAGTTTTCTTGTTATTCGAGCAAGAATACAATATGATCAGAATATCAGTGACTTCTATGCATGTCTGGTCAGAGCTGACGATTAGGTACAATGTCTCTGCCTCGGTGTTTTCTGGAATACTATGGAGGTGCAGGTTAGGGATATGTCGATTCTAAAATAGATCCTTCAGAGATTGATCTTTTTTGCTCTTGAAAATTGATTGTTCAATCGAGTTTTCTGAATCACGCGATTCATCGATTCGATTATTTCTCCACGAAGATCGATTTCGAATTTTCTCTATCGTTGTGACTTAGAAAATATGATTTAGTTCCTTATGTTTCTTCGTTATTGGGGAATTATTTCTATAGTTCATCATTTTTCATAAATTTCTTTACTTCTTCGTTGCATTCCTGAT